AAAGGAAGTTGGACGAATCAAAGAAAGAAAGAAAGAAAGAAAAAAGAAAGAAAGAAAGAAAGAAAGAAAGTCAAATAATAAGAAGTAGTGAAAGGAAGTTGGACGAATCAAAGAAAGAAAGAAAGAATTTTTAGAAACTATTTTGTAAAGAAAATACGAATAAAAGATATTCCTAATCTATATATATAAAGTTGTATCGGCTGTCTGTCTGTTTGTTATCGAACTCCTAGGGTTTGGGAGATATAGACTCATAACCATATATATTCTGAAACTACATTACCCAAGGCAATTGGATAAGTATATTTTATTTTGATCAAAGGTGGCCCCTGGGCGGGAGAGTGTCGCAAACCTCCCACTGATTTTTTTCCCCATTGATATAAATTAAATTTAAATTTGAACAAGGTAATGGTTCCTAGGATACTTGGATAAGTATATTTCATTTTGATCAAATGGGATCCCATGGGGGTACAACATCCGGCTGAATTTTTTCCCTTTGATTTAAATTAAATTTAAATTTGAACAAGGGAATGACTTCTATCCAAAATATAGAAGGAGAAAGCCAGAAGATGGAGGTCACATCGGCACGATCAAAATCAGACAATATGGACGTCAAGAGATAACCAATCAGTGAGCAGTGCCGTACAATACATATTTGTTGCGACAATTTAATCGTCATATCAATGTTGAAATCTTCTCATCAATTCATTCAATCAAGTATTGCATCAAATAAATATCAAAGGGGCCAGATCAAACAGTTTTTGTACAAACCCCCATTAATTTGTTTCCCTTTGATTTAAATTAAATTTAAATTTGAACAAGGGAATGACTCCTATCAGAAATATAGAAGGAGTGAGCCAGAAGATGGAGGTCACATCGACAAGATCATTGAGTAATATGGAAATACATCATTTTTCTACACAAATTATAAAATGGTTTAAAATCAATCATCATTTTCCTACAACAAAAAAATGTGTGACACGCAGCAAGGTGCCGGTAATTCGGCTAATAAAGTAATAAAAAAAACACTAAGAAAATTTGAATGAAAAAAATTCCCTTTTAAGTCCGATAAAGAAGAACAGCGAAGATTAGAAAGATTCGCCTATTGCCCGGTTCACTCTCCTCCTCGGTCTTCTGAAGAAGAGTAGACGTTTATCTACTGTTTTTTGTTTAACATTGGGCTTCCTGTTCCTTAAAATATCTAATTCAACTCTATACATATCACGTGTACGCCTAAGCTCTGAATTTTTTTTTTTTTTTCAGTAAGAGTAGATATGTTTTCTGAATAGGAGTAGAGGTTTATCCTTTGTTTCCTGTTTAGGATTGGGTTTCCGGTTCCTTCAAAAGTTTACTTCAACTCTATACTTCTAACGTCCCCGCCTAAACTCTGAAATGTTATTTATTTTCTTCTTTTCAGTAGGAGTAGATATGTTTTTTGAATAGGAGTAGAGGTTTGCACTTTGTTTCCTGTTTAGGATTGGGTTTCTGGTTCCTTCAAATGTCTACTTATAATTCTAAAGTCTACGCCTAAAATCTGAAATGTTATTTATTTTCTTCCTTCAGTAGGAGTAGATATGTTTTTTTGAATAGGAGTAGAGGGTTATCCTTTGTTTCCTGTTTAGGATTGGGTTTCCGGTTCCTTCAAATGTTTACTTATAATTCTAACGTCTCCGCCTAAACTCTGAAATGTTATTTATATATTTTTTTCCTTCAGTAAGAGTAGATATGTTTTCTGAATAGGAGTAGAGGTTTATCCTTTGTTTTCTGTTTAGGATTGGGCTTCCGGTACCTTCAAATGTCTTCTTCAAATCTATACTTTTAACGTCCCCGCCAAAACTCTGAAATGTTATTTATATACTTTCTTCCTTCAGTAGGAGTAGATAGGTTCTTTGAATAGGAGTAGAGATTATCCTTTGTTTCCTGTTTAGGATTAGGTTTCTGGTTCCTTCTAAAGTCTACTTCAACTCTATACTTCTAACGTCCCCGCCTAAACTCTGAAATGTTATTTATATATTTTCTTCATTCAGTAGGAGTAGATAGGTTTCCTGAATAAGAGTAGAGATTATCCTTTGTTTCCTGTTTAGGATTAGGTTTCCGGTTCCTTCTAAAGTCTACTTCAACTCTATACTTCTAACGTCCCCGCCTAAACTCTGAAATGTTAGTTATTTTCTTCTTTTCAGTAGGAGTAGATATGTTTTTTGAATAGGATTAGAGGTTTATCCTTTGTTTCCTGTTTAGGATTAGGTTTCCGGTTCCTTCTAAAGTCTACTTCGACTCTATACATCTCACGTCTCCGTCTAAACACTGAAATTGTATTTGCTATATTTTTCTTCTCTATATGAGTTGATAGATTCGCCTATCTTTCGGTTCCCATACCTTCCCGGCCTTTTGAACTAAAGCAGACTTTTAACTCTGGCTTTAAGATTAGTATTGGGTTTCCATTCCTTCTCCATCCTGGGTATGACGATAAACTAAATCCGCTTCCTGGGTAAAACGATAAACTACATCAAGTAGCAAGGCCTCTGATCAGGAGGTTTTGAGGAGTGTGGAACCACCTCTTAATTGCTGGTGTTCCCAGGTCCACCCTAACACCTCTTCGGGTCGCAGGCATTGTCTAATAGCTAACTCCCAAACTGGGGTCAAAACACTAGGAGCGTGTAAAAATCAGTTTTAATTCGAGCAATACATTTTTGAGGAAAACGATTATTACCAGCAATTGATTTTTGGAATAAAGGAAAATATTGCCAGATATACATATTTGGAAAAAATATATTAGCAGCAATACATTTTATGGAAAAGAAAAAAAAATATTACCAGCTAAAATCTTATCGGCCTTAAATAACCCATTCAGGTTGATATGCCATAAAACCAACCAAAGCAAACAAACAAACCAGTTGCTTCTAAAATCTTGTTCTCTTTCACTCCCGGTAATCGCCTGCATTTTAGTGACTTTATCCTTAGTAAAGTTTTAACATCGTTTCTCGACCTATTTGAATCTTCCTACGTAGCAGAATGAATGAATAAAATATCAGTCAGTTATATGCCATGCGTGAAACACGCTTAGGCGATCATATATCTTTCGATAAATGACTGACGAGGCAGATTAATTTCCTACAATAGGTTGCCATTTCTTTCTACGGTAAGCCACTTGCCATCGAAGGTTTTAGAACCCGGTCTGTCCTGCTATCTACCCATAGCTGTTGTGTAGAAGAGGATTCATTAGCACGTAAGTGAATGTAATAGATGCGACTGTAATTCGAACTCCGCTTTCCGATTCCTCACTCCAAGCCGCTAACCATTACTCCACCGTCTCGTGAATGAAATATAAATAAATAGAAAAAAGCTACTGAAAAAAACAAATGAATTTTGGGAACAAAGAAACCCGTTGTGTCTTCAAGATTTCATGTTTTCTTTTCATTCGTGATTCATTCTTCTATTTTTTTTATTTCCTTTCATATTTCCTTTTCCTCCTATTTTTTTTTCTTGCCTTTTCTTTATTTTTCTCTATTTATAAGATTTCTTCATGACTTTTCTCTTTCAGTTTCTTCATTCTGTCAGTTTCTTTTTTAATTACAAGTATAACGTTGAGTCTCTACCCAGCACCTGAAGACTGCGTTGTGCATGAAACTTCGAGTCGTGCTACCGACGACAGATAATACCTATATTTATAAATATATACATAAGAGCTTTTTTATATTAAATCGAGGACTATTTTTAAAACACAAGCAGTGTGTGATATATTTATATATAGTTACCTTGTCTTCTTAATATCTGATCTTTTAATGTTCTCTTTCCTTAATAATGTTTTTTTTTCTCTTTTGTTCTGTAACACTCAGTAACCCTTTGTGTCTTAGACGTTTCATGTTTTCTTTTCATTCTTAATTCATTCTTTCTTTTATTTTTTTATTTCCCTTTTTATTTCCTTTTTCTCCTATTTTTTTCTTGCCCTTTCTTTATTTTCCTCGATTTATAAGACTTTTTAATTTTTTTCTTTTTCAGTTTCTTCTTTCTTTAGGTTCTTCTCATTTTAATAGTGTGTTTTTTGGGATTTTTTTTTTCAAACGACAATAAAAATAAAAATAATGATCCTGGAATGGGCATTCGAATTTTATATTAAATCAAGGACTATTTTATAAACACAAGCAGTGTGTGATATCTTATATTTATATATAGTTATCGTCTGTTCTTTTAATGTTCTCTCTCCTTAATAATGTTTTTTTTCCTCCTGTTCTCTAACACTCATAACCCTTTGTGTCTTAGAAGTTACATGTTTTCTTTTTATGCTAATTTCATTCCTTTTTTCTTCTATTTTTTATTTCCCTTTTTATTTCCTTTTCCTCTTATTTTTTGTTTTTTTTCTTGCTTTTTCTTTATTTTCATCTATTCATAAGATTTCTTCATGTCTTTACTCTTTCAGTTTCTTTTCATTATATATGTAACGTTGAGTCTCTATCCTGTACCTGAAGATTGTCTTGTGCATGAAACCCCGCGTCTACTGTCTTCTTAATATTTGTTCTTTTAATGTTTTCTCTCCTTAATAATGTTTTTTTTTTCTCTTTGTTCTCTCAGTAACCCTTTGTGTCTTAGAAGTTTCCTGTTTTCTTTTCATTCTTGTTTCATTCTTTCTTTCTTTTATTTTTTATTTTCTTTCATATTTACTTTTCCTCCTATATGAAGGAGAAAGAGCATTTGAAGAGTAATCAAGAAGACAATCGATAATGATTGACATTATATTTAAACTTTTGAAGATCAAAATTGACCGGAAAGCATGGAGATAAAGTGGAACTGTTGTCGTTTCAATGCCAAAGAAGAATCTGCAGTGTTTTGGGTCCTGACTCGGCACCTCGGCCTCAATCACTTTCCCACTTCCGTAATCTTTCTGGCCTATGACTTATCTATAAATACTTTAATGTTAGTTTTTTTTTTCTCTCTTTATTTCCTTTTCCTCTTATTTTTGTTTCTTTCTCTTTCTTTATTTTTTATTCTATTTATAAGATTTCTTCATGTCTTTTCTCTTTCATTTCCTTCTTTCTACCTTTTTTTTATCATTTAGGCCCCTTCGAGTTTTCATTTGGCCTTCCTCTTCTTTTTTGCCTCTCTTTTTGAATTTATTCTTTCCTTCTTCCTCTTCATCTACCGTTTCTTCGCCGTCTTATATGGTCTTTTTTCCTTCCTTTTTTCTTGCTTTTGCTTTCATTCTTTCCCTTTCTTCATCTCCTGCCAATTCTCTCCTTTCTATAGTTTAGTTTTTCTTCCTCTTCTTTTTTCTTATTCTAATTTTTTCTTTTTTTCTTCTTTTTGCTGTCATTCATTTTCTTCTTCATATTCTAAGACCATCTTTTATTTTAGATTTCCGTTTTTTTTCTTCTTGTCTACTTCGTCTTCTTCTTCAAATTCTTCTTTCTTTTACTTTCGTTCTTTTCTTTCTTGTATGATTTTCGTAATTTTTTCGTTTTATCTTTTCTTCCTCTTCTTTCTTCTTCTTGCTTTCATTTGTTCTCTTCTTCATCCCCTTTTGCAATTTCCCTTCGTTCTTATTTTAGCATTTCTTCCTCTTCTTCTTTCTTCCTTCTCCTTTTTCTTCTTGCTTTCATTGTATGTGTTCTTCATCTTCATGTACCAATTCTTCCCTTCTTCTTCTTCTTTCTTCTTCTTCTTCTTCTTCTTCTTCTTCTTCTTCTTCTCCTCCTTCTTCTTCTTACTCTCTTCCTCCTCCTCCTTCTTCTTCTTCTTGCTTTCATTATTTGCGTTCTTCATCTTCTTCTCCTCCTTCTTCTTTTTCCTCTCCTCCTTCTCCTCGTTCTTCTTCTTTCTCTCCTCCTCTTTTTTTATATGTCCTTCTTTTTTCTTCTTCATCTTCATTTTCTTCTTCTTCTTCTTCTTCTTCTTCTCCTCCTCCTCCACCTTCTTCTTCTTCCTCTCTTCCTCCTCCTCCTTCTTGTTCTTGCTTTCATTATATGCGTTCTTCATCATCATGTACCAATTCTTCCCTTCTTCTTCTTCTTCTTCTTCTTCTTCTTCTTCTTCCTTTCTTCCTCCTCCTCCTCCTCCTTCTTCTTGCTTTTATTATTTGCGTTCTTCATCTTCTTCTCCGCCTTCTTCTTCTTCTCCTCCTCATCGACCTCCTCCTTCTTCTTCTTCTTGCTTTCATTATTGCGTTCTTCATCTTCTTCTCCCTCTTCTTCTTCCTCTCCTCCTCCTTCTTCTTCTTCCTCTCCTCCTCTTGTTCTTTCTTCTTCTTCTTGCTTTCATTATTGCGTTCTTCATCTTCATGTACCAATTCCATCCCTTTTTATATGTCCTTCTTCTTCATTTTCTTCTTCCTCATCATCTTTTTCCCTCCTCCTCCTTCTTCTTCTTCTTCTTTCTTCCTCCTCTCTCCTCTTCTTCCTCTCCTCCTCTTCTTCTTCTTCTCTTCCTCCTCCTCCTCTCTTCTTGTACCATTTCTGTCCTTTTTTATCTCTTTCTTTTTGACCATTTCTGTCCTTTTTTTATTTTCTTTTTTGACCTCGTCTTTCTCTCATTCTTCCATTAATTACTTTTACTCTCTATTTTTTTTGCTATCTTTCTCTCCTTCTTCCTCTGCCTCCTCCTCTTCTTCTCATTATTAATATTACTATTATTATTGTTGTTTAGCCAGCAATTTTTATTTCCTGTTGTTTTCTTTTTCTCTGTTCGTTCCTCCCTTTTAATATTATTGGCACCCTGATTTACCGCTTGCCTAAGCAATAATAAGTGAATAACATACTTCGCTAGTAGACCCACGTGCTTGCCAGGAGACAAGCAATTGGTGCTCTTCCTACTTTCACTTTCGTTTTCTTTTTTACACTTGCCTCTACTCTTTTTATAACTTTTTTTTTACACTTGCTCATCATTTATCTCTGCAGTCTTGTCTTGAGCGAAAATGATGACGCTTATTAAGCTGATTCGATTTCATCCCAACTTGTTATTGGTCTCAGTTTAAAAAAAAATAACGACTTCCGAACACACTAAAAAAGAACTTACACGATATTGCAGCGACAGCTCCATGTTTGGCACAAGTTCATATTTGGCGCTCATCCGGGATATTTAACATTCGGGAACGGGTTATTTTTCTCGGGTTGTTATTAGTTACCAGTGGGTAATTTATAACAACGCTGTTTTTCTCCCACATCGCTTTATATAATCATTATATTATTCGATTTTAAAAATTCAAAAACAGTAGAAACCTCGAACAAAATCTTTTCATACAAATCACGAACTATTACTGTGTAACTATGGAGCTTGTTACACCATGTATAAATGCTGATGCAATAATTACTATCAATATTGTTTGTTACTACCGAATTCAACCAAGATTTACAAAAAAAAGCTGTCATATAAATATATATAAAAATATATTATAAAAATACAAAACTACTTCTTAGATTATGACTTCCATTCGCTACCAATGGCTTACAACATGACCAATTTAAGTGTTCCGTCTTTCAGAGATATTTGTCAGACTGTACTAACTGCATTTACACTTTCGTCAAGTTACCCTACTATTGCTATTGGTAGCATGTAACCCAGTCTTACCCGTCATATAATGAGGTCGTTCGGAAACCTAAACGTTTAGATTTTTTCTGGCATGGATAATTCTGGGCAGCCAGCAAGATTAAAAATAAGACCTGTCAGAGGGCAAATGTACCTTCTTGTAGTATCAACTGCCAGAAAACATGATGCGGGGTATGCTGGTCTATGTAGCTATGTACACAGTGCAATGATAGCATGGCATTTCTGGGCAGAGGGCTTCCAAGACTGAAAACCATTGTCTAGGGCGGTGGCTTCTCCTAATGTAATCAACATCCGCGTGTCAGTGACTATGTCGAGCCTTCAGGTTGGAAGGCATTGGTTGCGGTTTGAACTAGGGAATGATGGGCACCGCCAGGTTCAATTGACCAAGACGCGATGCGAATAAATAAGAATAAGACTTTCAACCCAGTTGTATGGAGCGGACTCGTCTTGTACTGAGATAGTTTGCGACTCTACGACCACAAGCGGTGTTGGGACTGATGATGATAATGATGATGATGATGATGATGACGTCGACAACAACGATGATGATGATGACGTCGACGAACAATGATGATGATGACGACGATGATGACGAGAAGACGATGGATGATGATGACGACGATGACGACGACGATGATGATGACGTTGATGAGGGTGATGATGATGATGACGACGACAACGATGACGACGAAGACGATGACGATGATGATGACGACGATGACGACGACGATGATGATGACGTTGATGAGGGTGATGATGATGATGACGACGATGAGGATGATGATGATGACGACGACGACGACGACGACGATGGTGATGATGATGATGATGACGACGAGGATGATGAAGACGACGATGAGAATGATGATGACGACGACGACGAAGACGATGATGATGACGATGATGATGATGATGATGATGACGACGGTGACGACGACGATGACGACGATGATGATGATGACGTTGATGATGATGATGATGACGTCGATGATGATGATGATGATGATGATATGGATGATAATGATGATGACGACAACGACGATGATGACGATGATGATGATGATGATGTTGATGATGTTGACAATGATAATGATAATGAAGGCAAACTTTGATTCAAGATCAAATACCTGGAGTACTAAAGTGTAGATTCACTCCTCATGACTTGCGAGATAAGGATTTATAAAAACAATTTTTTTCATGGAGTATCACAGAACGTCCTTTCGGGCAAATGACATGCGAGATAAAATACCATCAGTGAAAAAAAAAAAAAAAAAAAAAAAAACTTTTTTGCAAGACCTGATACAGAGACCGTAAGCAGGACGAGAGAAAAAGAATAAAGAAGGATCACAACTTTAAAATAGTGCAATGGAAGGATCCATCATGTTAAAAAAAGAAATAAAGCAAAACAGAATGCTACAGAAGTCGAGGAAAACAGAAAAAAAAGGTAAGTTGATTTTAAAGAATTACTAAATGCAGAGGTGGGAGAAATCCGTCTATTATCCAGCGTCGAGGGTACCACAAGGCGGTATAATGGTTAGCAAGCTTGTCTCGCTAGTTCAGTTACGACTGAGTAGTGAGTTCAATCCTCACTGGATGTCCCATACTTTCCGCCTTGTGCCACATCTAAGCTATGCTTAGAAAATAAAGGCACCTCGAGGTGATGTAATTGTTAACAAGCTTGTCTCGCTAGAACAATTACGGCTCTTTATTGATTTCGATTCCCACTGGGTGCCCCATAATTTCGACCTTGTGCCATATCTAAGGTACACTTGGAAAATAACTATGGTTAGCAAGCTTATCTCGCCAGAACAATTACGAATGTGTATTAAGTTTGATCCTCACTGGGTACCACCTACTTTTGGCTTTGTGCCACATCGAAGCCACGCTTGGAAAATCACTATTATCCAGTATCTTTACGATAGACATTTCCATCCATTTAATTTACCGTATTTTTCTGTGCATAATACGACTTGAATGGAATACAACCCTGTGTTTCTGAGGCCAAAAACAGGGATTAAATTACGTTCTTGAGTATTTTACGACACTTATAAAGAAATCCCTATGTAGTTTTTAAAACAAAAATGTTGTAGTATATTATTCAGATCTTAATGTTGTATACCTCTTTCATTAAAATATTTATTTTTTCCTGATATTAAAGTACAGAAATGAACAGGAAGTTTAGTCATTGTGTGTTTCTTCACCTAATTTCAGTTTCAAAGCTTATTTTCGATTTTTGGGCGAAAGGTGTTGGAAAATTAATGTTACCAAAACATGAAAGATTTTGTTTATTTTCTTTCATCAACTTTCAATTACGCTGATTCCCAAAGAACAAATATTGCTGACATATCAAATAGCTTTTGCAAGCAATTATAAATTATAAATACCTGCCTAACTTGTGTCTTTGTTATCGATATGAGTGTATTTCCAATCTGGATGCTTCAAAGAAGTGTTATGCTGTTTTTTTAAGCTGACTAGCATATTCTGAAAACGTGTATTTGTGTATAATATGTCACCTTTCACTAAATTTCCTGTCTTTGACAAAAAAGTCGTTTAATTATACTGATTATCAAAGAAAAATATTGCCGACATATCAAATATCTTTTGTAAACAATTGTGTTGGGTGTATTTACAATATTTCTCTTTCAAATAAGAGGTGTTTTTTTAAGCTGAGTAACATTTCTGAAAACGTATATTTGTGTATAATATGACACCTTTTACTAAAGTTCCTGTCTTTTACAAAAAAAAAAACTCGTTTAATTATGCTGATTTTCAAAGAAATATTTTGCCGATATATCAACTACCTTTTGTAAACAATTGTGCTGGTTGTATTTGCAATATTGCTCTTTCACGTAAGAGGTGTTTTTTTGTTTTTTTTTTAACTGAGTAACATTTCTGAAAACGTGTATTTGTGTATAATATGACACCGTTTTTGCCTTTAATTTTGGTTTAAACTTTCTGGTATTACGCACAATAAAATACGGCACCATTAATTTTCCCTCCATTTTTGCTCAACAAAAACTGTTTCTACTATATGTATTATTATCTTCCGACATATTTATTTACCATTAATTTCTGCCACCATTATTTTTCGGCGAATGTTTCTGCCATTTTTATTTACCAAAATTGTTTCTCATTTTTATTTACTACACTAATTCCACCATATTTATTTACCATAGGTCCTTGCTGCAATTTCTGTTTTCTATAGAACTTTCCACCATTTTGATCGACCAAACACTATTTTTATCATTTGTGTTTACTATGATTACTTCCCATTATATTTATTTGCCATAAATTCCCCTGCCATTTCTGTTTACTATAGAAACTTGAAACCATTTTTCTTTACTAATAACTGTCTCATTTTTATTTACCACGGTGACTTTCCACCATATTTACTTGCCATAGATTCTTCCAGCCAATTCTGTTGGCAGATAAAATTTTCGAATGTTTATATTTACGAAAATCTTCTTCTTTTCGCCACATTTTCTACTTATTACCTTTGACCTTCCTTTTCTCTCCTTTCTCTTGGTAAATTTCTCCATTCTTTTACTTCTTTAGTTCTTCTTCTTAACATTTTTTCGCATTTCTTCTTTCTCTTCTAATTTTTAAACCTTCATTTTTTTAATTCCTTCTACCATTTTTTCTTCTTTTGGTTTCTTTCTCCCTTTTCTTCATCTCGTAGATTCCTTCTACTTTTTCTTCTTCTTTTGATTTCCTTCTACCTCTTCTTCTAATTTTTTCTTTTTTCCTCTTTTCCTTCCTCTTCTTTTGGTTTCCTTCTACCTTTTCTTCTTTTTTAGCTTCCTTCTCCCTTTTCTTCATCTCGTAGATACCTTCTACCTTTTCTTCTTCTTTTGATTTACTTCTACCTCTACTTCTAATTTTTTTTTCCGCTTTTTCTTCCTCTTTTTTTTGGTTTTCTTCTCCCTTTTCTTCATTTCTTAGATTCCTTCTACTTTTTCTTCTTCTTTTGATTTCCTTCTACCTCTTCTTCTAATTTTTTTCTTTTTTCCTCTTTTTCTTCCTCTTCTTTTGGTTTCCTTATACCTTTTCTTCTTCTAATATTTCTTTTTTTCCGCTTTTTCTTCCTCTTCTTTTGGGTCCCTTCTACATTTTCTTCTTCTGATTTTCTTCTACCTCTTCTTCTATTTTTTTCCTCTTTTTTTCCTTTTCTTTCTACCTTTTCTTCTTTTGGATTCCTTTTAACTTTTCTTCTTTTGATTTTCTTCTACTTTTTCTTCTTCTTCTGTTTTCCTTCCACCTTTTATTCTTCGTTTGATTTCCTTCTTTTTATTTATCTTAATGTTTTCATCTTTTCCTTCTCTTTTTTGTATATTTCCATGTTATTCTTTTTCTGTTATTATTACTTCTTCTTCTTCTTCTTCTTCTTCTTCTTCTTCTTCTTAATCTCCTTTCACTTTATTCCTTTTCCTTCATTCTATCTTCTAACTTATTTTTCTTCTTCTTCTTCCTCCTCCTTCTTCTTCTTCGTTCTTTTTCAGTTTTCTTCATCATCTACTATACTTCCATCTTCGGGTTTTTTATTCTTTACATTCATTCTCTTGATTCTCTCCTTCATGTTTTCTTCATTATTGTATTTTTCATTTCCATCTATATCTTTTGTTTCTTCTTTGCATTCATTCATTCTCTTCAACTTCTTCCTCATTTGTCTACCTATTTTCTTTCTTTATCCTCTTCTTCTTTCCTTCTTTTGTTTCTTTATTTTCATTCTGTTCATCTTAAACTTCCGTTGGTTATTCTTCATTGTTCTTCTTCCTCGTCTTTTTTTTTACTTTTTTACATTCATTCTCTTCACCTTCTTCTTCATTTTTATACTTTTTCTTCCTTTTCTTCTTCTTCTTTTTCATTTTCTTCTTTTTCTCTTGTGTCTTTTTTATATTCATTCTCTTTGTACTTATTCTTCATTATTTTCTGTTTTTTTTCTTCTTTCTCTTCTTCTATATTTGATTTCGTTCCATTCATTCTCTCAAAGCTGCTCTTAATTCTTCTTCTTTTTTGTTTTTCTTCTTTACCTTTTGTTTTCTATTTTTCCTTGACGGTAGCTGTTCAGCCCAGTGGGGCCGACGTTTCTCATCTGATATGCCGTTTGTATGGTATCCTCTATCACTCGAACCGGGAGAGTCTTCATTATTATTATTATTATTATTATTATTATTATTATTATTATTGTCGTTGTTGTTGCTGTAGTTTTTTTTTCTGGTGTCTCCATGTCTTTACGGGTCCCAACCAGTGATCTAAGGTCAGAAATGGCGTCAGGACATTTTCCACTGAGCATTTTTTTTTTTTTTAGGAAAAAAACACATAATATCACATATTTGATAAATAAAGCCCTTCGTAGGGCGTGGGCTGTACTGGTGAGTACAATTGTTTGTATATCTTCAAGGCATCGGCTACCAGGAATCCCTTCAACGTGTCTACTGGAATCTTTTCCAATTAATCCGAGTGCTCCAACTACAACTGGAATTGTTAATGCCCTCATGTGCAACATTTTTGTGATTTCGACTTCAAGGTCCTTGTATTTTGATAGGGTTATTTTTTTTATCTTGAAAGATACTTTGCAGTCTGCCGATATTGACATATCAATAAGAATGCACATTTTGTCTTTGCGGTCTCCAATCACGATGTCTAGGCTATTAGCTTTATTATTATTATTATTATTATTATTATTATTATTATTATTATTAACTTTGATTTCTGCTGTATTTTGATAGTTATTATTACTGTCATAAATTATTATTGTTTGTGTTATGTTTCCTAGTTTGTAACATGTAGAGCCGGGTCCAAACTATGATCCTTAGGTCCTATAGGAGAATTGTCATTTAATTGACGGCACTTTTCTTAGTATATGGGATGTTCCTAGTAGGGCGATCTTCTGGGTAATTTGTATGTTGATATTACCTGGGACACTTTTAGTAAAATGTTCCATTCCTTTTCTCACGAGGTCCAGAGCTCGATTACCTTTGGTACAGTCTCAGACTTCATTCTCTCCATCCTGTTAATCTCGACCTCCAGGTCTTTGTATTTGGACGATTTCTCGATGATTTTTATGGAGGTGTTTCTCTGCTAAGTCAATAAGCATACACTCCCTGAATTTCTTGTCTTTTATGATAATATTAGGTCTGTTGGATTTTATTTCCTTGTCAGTTTGATTTGGCATGTCCCAGAGGATAGTTACATCGTTATTTTGGTTTACTGTGTCTGGTTGGTGCGCATACCATCTCTCAGTGGTTTCGATTTTGTGCTTCTTGCATATCTTCCAGTGCACATATGTCGCTACATTGTTATGTCTATGATTATATTCCTTTTTTCTAGTTCCGGGCATCCTGTGATAATATGGCCGACAGTTTCATCATATGTTTTCGCAGATCCTGCATTTCGAATTAGTTCCGTCCTTGATTATGTGACATTGATAGCATCTGGTTGTGAGGCTTTGGTCCTGAGCTGTAATAATTAGGCATTAAGTCTCAGCTTTCAACCCGGATGCTCCTCAGCCATTGATGTGTTTTCTGTTTGTCCACATCTGCTTCTTTCCTTCTTTTTAGCTATTTGCCATGTAACGCCTTGTCTTCCCAGTTTTTTTTTTGTAATTTCATTTGGCCAAATTGTTTTTCTTTCTATTTTACTCATTTGGCGTAGATGGTATTCGCTTAATTTTTTGTTGGTAGGATTTCACGTATATTAAGCTGTTTCTTGAATAGCGTAACTTCTTTGATGATGGTGTGGACTTAGTGTTTTACTATTTGTAGGAGAGGGTCATTGTTTTTTGTGAGTTATGCTTCAAATCCGATTGTTGTAGTTTTTAGAGTTAGTTTAAGTTGGATTAGACCTCGGACTCCTAAAGCTCTTGGTACGTACAGACCTGATCTGATCTAATCTCGGATGATGCATTCTCGTTTGGTTAAGCAATTTCTGGTCTTGGCGTCCTATCTTTTAATATCATTCAACTTCCATTTAATAATGTTGAAGCTGTATGTTACTAGGGACATAGCTAAAGTGTTAATAGCCTTCATTTTATTGACCGCATTTAGTTCGCTTTCTAATATCAAGCGCAGTGTCCTATAACATTGTTTTCAGTTCTTTTTCTTCATTGTTGCATGATGCATTCTGTCTCCTTCATTAATGCCTAAGTATTTTTTTTATGTACCATCTTGGTCTAGTTCCTTAACCTTGTTGTTGATATCAAAGTCTAAATCTGTAGTTTTCGTTAGTTTACCACCTTTGAAAGTGGCTTTGGTACATTTGCCAAATCCGAACTCCATCCCTGAAGGTTTTGACAATAATGAGTAGGTTTTTTTTTTCTGCTGGTTGTCATCCTTGGTAAACGTTTTGATATCATCAGTATAGAATAGGGGGTTCAGTTTGCCATTCTGCGATTTGTATCCGTAGCTGTTTTTGTTCAGTAGGCAGTTATAGTGGCGCTAATGCGAGGCAGAAGATTAGTGGTGATAATGAATCTCCTTGGAAGATCTCGCTTTTGATATTGATTGGTCTTGATGTTAATGAACCATTTGTATGGTTTAGATTTGGTGTAGTCATCCAGCTTTTCATGCTCCCCGTTATAAAATTGACGGCTGTGGGGCACATTCTGTATACTTTTAGGCTCTTCTCAATCCATGAGTGTGTTACACTATCGAACGACTTTCTGTGATCGATCCATGCTATCGATAATTTTCTTTTCCTTTCTTTTCACCTCTTCCAATAGTTTTATTGATAATTAGTTGTTCCTGGCACCCGTAACTTCCTCTTTTACATCCCTTCTGTTCTGCTGGCAGTAAATTGTTTTCTTCAAAGAAGTTGTATGTCCTCTTGGTTATGATAGAACTGAGGGTCTTGTACATTGTTGGTAAGCAGGTAATCGGCCTATAGTAATTCAGGTTCTGCGTTTCTTCTGTTTTGGGGGAGTAGGCATGTTACTCCCCACGTGAGCCATTTGGGGTATTTTAATAATGTTGAAGCTGTATGTTACCACGGGTATAGCAAAGGTGTTGTAGCCTTCATTTTATTGGTCACATTAAGTTCCCCTTATAATGTCTTCGGATCTTTTTCTTCAAAATTGAATATTGTATTCCGTCTCCTTCATTAATTCCTAAGTATTTCTATGTACCATCTTAGTCTAGTTCCTTAAAAGGAAGTTGACTTTAGCACATTTGTCGATTCCGAACTCCATTTTAATATCTTTGCTGAAGGTTTTAACAATAGTGAGTAGGTTTTCTGCTCGTTTTCATCCTTGGAAAACGTTTTAAGATCATCAATATAGAATAGATGATTCAGTTTGCCATTCTGTGTATCTGTAGCTAATGTTGTTCAGTAGGCAGCTGAGTGGCGCTAATGCAAGACAGAAAACTTGTGGTGACAATAAATCTCCTTGGATGATCCCGCTTTTGATCTTGATTGGTCTCGATGTTAATATCTATCTATCTATCTATCTATCTATCTATCTCAATCTGTTCATATCTATCTATCTATCTATCTATCTATCTATCTATCTATCTATCTATCTATCTATCTATCTATCTATCTCAATCTGTTCATATCTATCTATCTATCTATCTATCTATCTATCTATCTATCTCAATCTGTTCATATCTATCTATCTATCTATCTATCTATCTATCTATCTCAATCTGTTCATATCTATCTATCTATCTATCTATCCAAAATTTTTCCTTATCTATCAATCCATCTATCTATCCATTTTTTTTCTATCTATCTATCCAAATATTTTCCCTAACTATCTAGCTATCCAGATCTTTTCCTTCTGTCCATCTACCTATCCAAATCTATCTATCTATCTATCTATCTATCTATCTATCTATCTATCTATATATATATATATATATATATATATATATAAAACTTTTCCTACTCAGTCTGTCTATCTATCTATCTAAATCGTTCATTTGTTTTCTGGATATAGAAATTAGGACACATTTAAGCACAAACGGAAATCTAACAAGACGTTTTCGCAATATACATGTGAAAAAGTACTACTATTTATGTTGACTGGTTTAGAAAACGGTTAAAATAATGGAAGAGTTAATAATAAAAAAGGATGCCAACTCACAGTAATATCAACTAAGAACGTACTGACCGTTTTCGGAAATGAAAAAAAAGCTCCCTTACCTATTGAGACATATATATCAAAATTTTCACATTCAGTTAGAATAAAAAATCATTGATAATGTCTTATACATTAGTCGATCGCATTCTGATCCACAGATCATTTTTGACATTTTTTACATGTTCTATGTCGTGAAAAGAAACTTGTACGACTAAAAGAAGACTGAATGAAACTTTTATAAAAGAGGAATCGCTGCCCAAATACATAATTATATATATATATATATATATATATATATATATATATATATATATTCTGAAATGGATTAAATCCGATTTTTTAACAGAACACACACACACACACACACACACATATATATATATATATATATATATATATATATATATATATATATATATATATCATAAACAGTCCTATTGCCATAAATAAAGATCTGCATATTCAAAGAAATAAAAGAAATACTTGATAGAGGCCAACTAAGATAATAATGGCCAAATGGTAAATATCAGTCGATTGAGATAGATAGATAGAAAGAAAGAAAGAAAGAAAGAGAGAAAGAAAGAAAGAAAGAGACTGAGATAGATAGATAGATAGATAGATAGATAGATAGATAGATAGAAGGAAATAAATAAATAAAGAAAGAAAGTGACTGAGATAGATAGATAGATAGATAGATAGATAGATAGATAGATAGATAGATAGATAGAAAAAAGAAAGAAAGAAAGAAAGAAAGAAAGAAGGCAAGAAAGAAAGAGACTGAGATAGATAGATAGATAGATAGATAGATAGATAGATAGATAGATAAGAACAGACTGAGATAGATAGATAGATAGATAAGAACAGACTGAGATAGATAGATAGATAGATAAGAACAGACTGGGATAGATAGATAGATAGATAGATAGATATGAACAATTAGATAGATAAATAAATAAATAGATAGATATATAGATAGGAATAGACAGAGAAAGATAGACAGAGATAGACAGATAGTTATAATTATATATATATATATATATATATACTGTTTATGCAGCTCTTCTCTCCCACTCTATATATCGTTTCTTGAGGGGATCGGTCTATATTAGCCTTTCATCTTACAGTCCTGTTGACAGGAGCCTTTTGTGGATGATGAAAGGAACAGAATAGGCACCCTTATCTGGGAGGGTTTCACCGTTAACCCTAAAGCTCAAAGCCAGCCGCAGTTGTCAAGGGTCCCTTTTGTCTTTCCAACCCCTTCTCTTGCTCTGAATTTAGACGATGGGCGGCCCTCTCTCACTACTATTGTCTTTCTATCCTGGGTGTATCGTTACTCTGGCGGTCGGCATTATATGAAACCACCTGGCAACTCGATATACTGATTTTTCTTTCTTTTTTTTCTTTATTTCTTGAGTAGGTTGGGAGGGTGGAGGATGTTTTCGCCTATTTTTCTTTGTTCAATAGCCTGTTTTTCTCCCGTTTTTATTTACATACTTCGTCTTCATTTTGAATATATATATATATATATATATATATATATATATATATATATGTGTGTGTGTGTGTGTGTGTGTGTCCGTCAATGCACTTTTTGTTTTCTGATCTCAAATATTTTCGTTCGTACTTTCTTCTAAAATCCCTTCCCAGATAACAACCGACTTACATGTCGCAAGACTCATGTTCCCAGCGGCAACCAGTGTTATGTTACGGTACAGATTTCCCTTCTGAAAATCCGACGGATATCAATGGACGACATTTACATTGACGATTTTATACGTACATGAAGAAGAAAAAAAATTACAATGGGAGCTCGCAAATTGTGGGACTTGTTCCACGTCTTTCATTCTCCCTCCGCTGGCCACACCTTCCTGAGTGAAGAAAAAAGAAATAGATCAAAAAACATAAGAACTTTTTTCAAGTAATTTAATACACTATAATCGACGCTGGGATATTTGGAAGAATTGCGCTGCTCCTGTCTGTCTGTCAGTCTATCTCCAGCCAGTCGACCAGTATCTGACTGCATGTACCTCTATCTGTAAGACTACTTCTCCAACTAATGTTCAGCTTTACTGATATATATATATATATATGTATATATATATATAATTATTTATTTAAAAATATGATTCCATCGCTACATAAGAGTTCTCATGTTTCAAAACAAGAGCTGAAAATTTCAATATAATTATTTGAATTAAATTGAATTAAAGTCCCAATCTCTGTTCACTCTTCAAGCGAAATATTTTTTTGAATCCAAAATAATTTCAAATAATTATAATGAAGTTTTCGGCTCTTGTTTTTGAAACATGGGAACTCTTATGTAGCGATGGAATCATATTTTTAAATAAATAATTATATTTACGCTTTACTTTTGTACCGAGCACTGTTTTTTGAAAATGATGACAAAAATACTAAAGAACTTATTTACCTAACGAGTTCTTTCCAATTTTCTATATATTTTCACACACACACACAAGTCCGACAATTATTTTTAAGTAAATGTTCTGTTTATAATAAACAGTATTAAACAACATTTACCGGCCTGAATTTACGAGAAATTTTCATCGAAAATATGCGTCCTCCTGCAAGAATCGAACCTGTGTCCTATACGGAACCGTCATTTAGCCTGACGTGCTTTAACCGATTTGGCTACAAAGGAGCGTTTCGGTTAGCAAGGTCGATTTCACTGTTTTAAACAGTAACATCGACTTGTTCGATTCCTGTTGGAGGACGCATATTTTCTATGAAGATTCCTCGAACATTCGGGCCGGAAATGTCGTTAAATCTGTTTATCATAAAAAAGCATTTACTTAAATATTTGTATCTACAAAAAGAATGTATAAACATAAAAATGTTATATATATATATATATATATATATATATATATATATATATATATATATATACCGGTGTAATAGCAAAATTGTCCAAATCGTGTAAAAAGAAGAAATTGTCCAGTTGTTAGATTAAGATTTGAACCAGTTTATCTTAGAAATGATTAAAGATATGTTACTGGAAATTTCCGGAGTTTTTACAACACTGTTGGAGTCTATTTTGAGCAATAAGAATGTATAATTACTCTACAAATGTAGCAGTAGAATCGTGATGAAATCGATCATATACGAAAATGACATGTTCATCAAAAATTAATCATAGCTAAGAATCGGAAGCTCATGAAGGATTGAAATAAAGTTCAAATGTGAATGTATTATTCCAGGGTCAAGATGATCTTCGCCCTCTCTAACTTTCGAACCTTCCATCCTGGACTAGCAAGGTGCCTCACATTTTTTCACGTACGCTTTTCATTTTTATTTTCACGTACGTCTTTCATTCTCTCTCCGCTGGCCACACCTTCTTCCTAAATGAAGAAAAAACAAATAGATAAAAAAAAAAATAAGAACTTTTTTCAAGTAATTTAATACACTATAATCGACGCTGAGATATTTGGAAGAATTGCTCTGCTAATGTCTGTCTGTCTGTCAATCTATCTCCAGCCAGTCGACCAGTATCTGTCTGCATGTACCTCTATCTGTAAGACTACTTCTCAAACTAATGTTAAGCGTTATTGATAAAAATATATATATATATATATATATATATATATATATATAAAAATTTTTATGTTCATACATTCTTTTTATAGATACAAATATTTAAGTAAATGTCTATAATATACAGTATTAAACAACATCTATTTTTCTATGAAAATTTCTCGGACATTCAGGCCGGTACATGTTGTTTAATACTGTTTATTATAAAACAGAGCATTTACTTAAATATTTGTATCTATAAAAAAAAGAATGTATATAAAAAAAAATGTCTTAAAATAATTGTCGGACTTTGTCCATTTCATAATGTGTGACGTCATTTGTTTACATTTGGATACGCCATGAGCAGATATGAATGTACGTGAGAGAATTATGGAAGATTGTAGTTTAAAGACAGTAAAATCGACCTGGCTAATCGAACGCACTTCTGGGATTAAGGCACGTCAGGCTAAATGACGGTTCCGTATAGGATACAGGTTCGATTCCTGTCGGAGGACGAATATTTTCTACGAAACTTTCTCGGACATTCAGGCCGGTAAATGTTGTTTAATACTGTTTATTGTAAACAGAATATTTACTTAGATATTTGTATCTATAAAAAGAATGTATAAACATAAAAATGACTTAAAATAATTGTCGGACTTTGTCCATTTCATAATATATATATATATATATATATATATATATATATATATATATATATATTGTGTATTTAGTCAGCAATCTTTCATGCACATTTCATTGAATACGACAGACAAGGAACTTTTATTTAATTTTTTTTATACAGTTTCTCATGCGATCTAATTTTTTTTTTCTTTTCGGATGATAAATTATATAAAAACTGTTCGAATGTTCTTTTTAGCCGAGCGCTTTCGGCTATACATTTAGCCATTTTCAAGGATTAAATATTTTAACCGTTAAATAAGGAATATTTTGTTGTATATATGTTTTATAAGATGTTTTCATTTTTCAAAACACGTTCAATATATTTCTTGTTAAAAACACTAACATAATAGTATCATCTACATGAAAAAAATGCTCAAAATAATAGAAGTTTTATTAATAAAAACAAAAAAAACAACACTTAATAATATTAAATTTGAACATGGACACAAGATAGATAGATAGATAGATAGATAGATAATGTGAAAAAATTGAATATTCGATAATATGGGCAGAATAAAATAGAGAGATAGATAACATGGACAGAATGATATACATAGATAATATGAACAGAATGTGATAGATAGATAGATAGATAGATAGATAGATAGATAGATAGATAGATATGAACAGAGTGTGATATAAAGAACAGACGGCGATAGATATAAAGATAGCAGTGTCTGGCATATATAAAACAGACTGACATAGATAGATAGATAGATAGATAGATAGATAGATAGATAGATAGAATAGATAACAGAATGTGACAGGTGATTAGATAGTTAGATTTACATAGAAATAGATAAATAGATAGATAGATAGATAATGAAATAGAGAGACAGAGAGACAGAGAGAGAGATTGATATTATGAAAAGACTGAGATAGATAGATAGATAGATAGATAGATAGATAGATAGATAGATAGATAGAAAATGAAATAGAGAAGATTGATTATGAACAACTGACTAGATAGATGGATAGATAGATAGATAGATAAAGATAGAATAGATAGATATATGAACAGAAGATAGATAGATAGATAGATAGATAGAAAATGAAATAGAGAGAGAGTGTCTGATATATATAAAAAGACTGAGATAGATAGATAGATAGATAGATAGATAGATAGATAATGATGAATAGAGAGATAGATAGATAGATAATTATGAAAAGAGATGATATACAGATAGATAATGTGTGAAAAATATTGAACAGAATAAAATGATAGATAGATAGACAGAATGATATATAGATAATATGAACAGAATGATATAGATAGATAGATAGATAGATAGATGATAGATGAGATAGATAGATAGATAGATAGAACAGAGTGTGATATGAACAGAGTGTAGATATAAAGATAGCAGTGATAAAACGATTGATGATAGATAGATAGATAGATAGATAGATATATAAAATACTGGATAGTTTACATAGATAGATAGATAGATAGATAGATAGATAGATAGATAGATAGAGAGATAGAGAGATAGATTGAATTAGAAAAATGAGACAGGTAGATAGATAGATAGAATGACGGATAGATAGATAGATAGATAGATAGATAACAGAATGAAAACTGATAGTTTAAAGATAGATAGATAGATAGATAGATAGATAATGAAATAGAAAATGAAATAGAGAGAGAGATTGATATTATGAAAAGACTGAGATAGATAGATAGATAGATAGATAGATAGATAGATATACATAGATAATATGAACAGAAATAGATAGAGATAGATAGATAGATATTATGAAAAGACAGAGATAGATATATAGATAGATAGCATATATAAAACAGAGATAGATAGATAGATAGATAAATAGATAGATAGATAGATAATGAAATGACAGAGACAGAGAGAGAGATTGATATTATGAAAGACTGAGATAGATAGATAGATAGATAGATAGATAGATAGATAGATAGATAGATGAAAATAGAGAGAGAGAGATTGATATTATGAAAAGACTGAGATAGATAGATAGATAGATAGATAGATAGATAGATAGATAGATAGATAGATAGATAACAGAATGTGACAGCTGACTTGCTGGTTAGTTTATAGATAGATAGATAGATAGATAGATAGATAGATAGATAGATAATGAAATAGAGAGAGAGAGATTGATATTATGAAAAGACTGAGATAGATAGATAGATAGATAGATAGATAGATAGATAGATAGATAGATAGATAGAAATGAAATAGAGAGAGAGATTGATATTATGAAAGACTGAGATAGATAGATAGAAGATAGATGAGATAGATAGAAAGAGAGAGAGATTGATATTATGAAAAGACTGAGATAGATAGATAGATAGATAGATAGATAGATAGATATGAACAGAATGAATGCTGAAGTTTCGCTTGAAGATGGAATGGAGCCCATTTTACTTTCAACTCAATTTAATTTAAAGGATTATATTGAAGTTTTCGGCTCTTGTTTTGAAACATGAGAACTCTTATGTAGCGATTTGGAACCATATTTTCAAATAAATAATTATATTTATGCTCTACTTTTGTATCGAGCACTATTTTTTAAAAATAATAACTAAAATACTAAGGGACTTTGGATTATTTACCTAACCAGTTCCTTCCTATTTTCTAGATATTTTCACACATATATATATATATATATATATATATATATATATATATATGAAATGACAATTGGAAAAAATCTTACATTTTGCCGACGCGTTTCGTCTTCCGACTTTTTCAAGGCAAAAATGAAATCGAAATGTTTTTGTTGTTATATTTACATTAAAATTAAAAATTAGAAAGATAGACGCTTGTGTCTAAGCCTTTTTTCTGGTTAATGTAAATTACCTTTATAGTAAGGGATTATTATTTTTTTTTTCCATGTCGACAATATAGTTAAATTCCCAGATGAATTCTGTGGACAAGATAGATTGGTATCAAATGACAATTGGGAAAAAATCATACATTTTGCCGACGCGTTTCGTCTTCCGAAATTTGATACCAATCTGTCTTGTCCACAGAATTCATCTGGGAATTTAACTATATATATATGTATATTAAATATTTAGTACTATTAAACGTATAGCTGGCAAAATTATTTTTTTTCAAAGACGTATAGCTGGCAACATTACTTTTTCAGAAACGTATAGCTGGCAACATTATTTTTTTCAAAAACGTATAGTTGGCAACATTATTTTTTCAAAAATGTATAGCTAGCATTATTATTTTTCCGAAAACATTATCTGAGGCCTTGCTGTTGGAGATAGTTTATCGTCATACCCAGGAGGCGGATGTAGTTTATCGCCATACCCAGGACGCGGATGTAGTTTATCGTCATTCCCAGGACGCGGATGTAGTTTATCGCCATACCCAGGACGCGGATATAGTTTATCGCCATACCCAGGACGTGGGTAAGGTCTGGAAAAAACTGGGAGTTCACTATATGCCCATAGCTGGGACCCTATCAGGTGCTACCACCCCAGGTCAGGGTGGACCTGGGAACACCAGCAATTAAGTTGTGGTTCCACGCTCCTCAAAACCTCCTGATCAGAGGCCTTGCTGTTGGATGCAGTTTAACGTCATACCCATGTTGGATAGGAATCATTCCCTTGTTCAAATTTAAATTTAATTTAAATCAAAGGGGAAAAATATTTCAGTGAGTGGTTTGTGGAAAAATTAGCTTGACCTGACCCCTTTGATATATATTTGATGCAATACTTCATTGAATGAATTGATGAGAAGATTTCAGCATTGATATGACAGTTGAATCGTCGGAACAAATATGTAAGGTACTACCCACTGATTGGGGATTTCTTGCTCAACTTGACGTCCATATTGTCTGATTTTGATCGTGCCGATGTGACCTCCATCTTCTGACTTTCTCCTTCTATATTTTGGATAAGAGTCATTCCCTTGTACAAATTTTAATTTAATTTAAATCTGAGGGAAAAAAAAATCAGTAGATGGGCGGAGGTTGGGCACACCGGGGAGAGCCTTTGATCAAAATTAAATATACTTATCCAAGAGTCAATCCCTTGTTCAAATTTAAAGTTAATTTAAATCAAAGGAGAAAAAATTCAGTGAGTCACGGTAGGTGCCAACACTGCTTCATGGAAATTCCAGATTTTGAAAACGTTTATCTTGAGTACTACTTCTCTTTTAATCATTTCACCCCAAGGAAGGCGGGAGTGCCACTAACATGCCGTGGTTTACAGAGAGTGAAAGTGAGAGGAAAGTCTGGCTATAGTGGGGATTAAGGAAAGGACAAAAGAAGAACCAGGAGTAAGCAATAGAAGATGGCGAATGCCATTGGATTTAATTTTTTGATGATTGTACATATCAGGAAAGTAAGTAAGAGGAAGGGAGTTCTACTGTCCGGAAGCGCGAGAAAAAGACACTGCTGGAGTAGATGTGGCGGTTGCATTTAACTATTTCAACAGTAAAACGGTAGGACCTAGATGCTAATCTTGTAGCACACTTAAATTCATGTAGTCGGGCTATCAGGGAAGATAGCTCAGCAGGACCGTTGCTATGAAAATATTTGTAGAAAAGACAGGGGGAAAATTTCGTTTTTGCCTTGAAAAATTCCACATTGGACGAAACGCGTCGGCTAATATTACAGTTTTTCTATTGTCTTTTACATTTATAAACATTGTCTTTTTCTACAGGTTAACTCTGAGAAATCTTTTTCTATTTTTTTTAAGCATTTCATCCCAAGTAAGGCGTGAGTGCCACTAGCATGCAGTGGGTTACAGGGAGTGAAACTGAAGTAAAAGATTGCGTAGAGAGGGGATTGAGGAAAGGATAAAAGAATAACGAGGGTCAAGGCAACAGAAGATGGCAATTGACTTTACATTTAAATATTTGAACATTATAGTTATCAGGGAAGCAAGTAAGAGGAAGGGAGTCTGTCTATATTTCTGAGATGAGGTATTATGTACAGTATTTACATTAGTCGGACTATTGTCCTCATCTTTGTCGCCATATTTGTCACAACGTTTCGACCATTGTACACTCCGGCCTTCTTCAGGTGGTTGGAATGTCGAACTGAATTTCGATCACTGGGGTAGACTGTTCTAGTTCCACGTGCCATGTTTGATGGATATCAGTTATCAGTTATCTCCTGCTAATTTTCCCTCTGAATGTTCTCCACTGCCTTAACCAGGTATTGAACTCACCTTCTTTGGGTCTGTCACTGGATCTAACCAACGCCTTTATCCACTGTGCCATGTGTCCTTGAGGACACATGGCACAGAAGAGGAAGGGAGTTCCACTGTTGGGAAGCGCGAGAAAAGAAACTCCTGGTGTAAAAGTAGTGGTTGCATTTAACTATTTCAACAGCACAGGGGTGGGACCTAGCTGCCAATCTAGTAGCACTCTTAAATTCATGTAGTCGGGTCATCAGGAAAGATAGCTCATCAGAACAGGTGCTATAAAAATATTTTTTAGAAAAGACAAAGGGAAGCCATATCAGGTCTATGAGTAAGTGACTGAAGTCGAGATGCCAAGTCAGGACCGGTTATATTGCAGATCCTTATTTGGGTTTTGTCGAGAACCTCGAGATGAACAGCAGGGGCTCCCGATCAGATAAGTTAACATTATTCAATGCATGAACGAAAGGTAGATTTGTAGATGTGTCAGATGGAACCTGACAAGAAAAAAAAAAACGTCTGGCGCGACACACTGAACCGACTTTCTTTGCAGACGAGGCAGTTATTGATTCAATGTAGTTGCTCCACCTCAGGTCATTGGAAAACGTGAGGCCAAGAAGGCGCAATGAGACACTCTTAGTGAGTCGAGCATAAACCATGCTGATGAGCAGGCACGGTGGAGTAATGGATAGCGGCTTGGATTGAGGAATCGGAGAGCCGAGTTTGAATTCCAGTCGAATCCATTACATTCACTTACGTGCTAATACCCTTGGGAAAGGTGTGAATCCTCTTATTCTCCCTCCAGCTATGGGTAAATAGCAGGACAGACTGGCTTCTATAGCCTTTGTTGGCAACTGGTCTAGGAGAAGGACAATTCCGAATTCAAAACCTGCAGAGGGACGTTTGGGGACCTTGTGGCACGTAGTGCACCAGGTCTCTGTATTCGGCCCTTCAAAAAGTGTGGATGGTCCTGCACGAAACCTTCACCACTATAATCAAATCTCATGTGCTATACATGCGGGTTGGGGACCGCTTGTGAATTCCAAATTCCCATGAAACTCAAATATAGGAGCCGGCTCAACCTACCCCGGGTGAATGCCGTTACAAGAACAAGAGAGAACTAATCCTTTCACTTTAGTGCAAAGAGGGAGGTGAAGCTACTAGTTTGGAATCGCCGGTATCCAGAGAGAAATGCTGATTGGGTGGCAGGAAAGTTTACCTCTGGCGGTTAAATGAGAGCAGTTAACAATATGTTGGATTAATAAATGAAAATCCAGTACTTCTTTAGAAATTGCTTTGTTTACGTTTTGGATATGAAACTAATCTTTTTGTTTTTTTAATCATTTCAGCCCATGAAAGGAGGGAATGCCACTAGTACGCAGGGGTTTACAGGGTGTGAAAGTGAGAGAAAATACTGAGTATAGGAAGGATTGAGGAAAGGACAAACGATAAACAGGATTCAAGAAGATAGAAAATTGCGATTGACGTTACATTTAAATTTTTGAAGATTGTAGTTATCAGGGGAGCAAGGAAACGTAAGGAAGATCCACAGGCGGGAAGTTCGAGTAAAAGAAACTCTTGAAGTAGAATTGGCGATTCCATTTAACTATTGCAACAATTAATGGGTGGGGCCTAGATGCCGATCTGGTACCACGCTTAAAGTCATGTATTCGGGTCACCAGCGAATAAAGCTCGTCAAAGCAGTTGCCATGAAAATATTTATAGAAAAGAGATCGCTAAGCCACATCACGTCGGTGAGAAGGTTACTGAAATCGAGGTGCCTGGTTAGGATTGATTATATTGCAGATCCTTTTTTGGATTTTGTCAAGAACCTCGAAATGAATAGCAGGGGCAACAAACCAGATATGGTAACATTCAATGTACTGAGGAATGGTAGATTTCTAAATGTTTAAAATGGACTCTGAGAAAAAAAAACCGTCTGGCACGACACAGAGAACCAACTTTCCTTGCCGTAGATGCAGCGTTTGATTCAATGTAGTTGCTCCATCTCAGGTCGCTGGAAATTGCCAGCCGCCTGACAAACTCTCGCTGAGTCATCTTCCCCTTAAAAAAAATCATCTTTGTTACAGCAGAAGTGTTTACTATGATTTCAAAGTTAAAAAAATGCAAGCTAATTTTTTTTTTAAGGCAATTCACCATAAGCAAGGCGGGAGTGCCACTAGCACGCAAGGAGAACAAGAGTAAAGAGTTGTGTTTGGGGAAAGGGTACAGAGAAGGACGCGGAACAAGCTTAGAGTGTCAGATGACGATCGACATTACACTTGAATATTTGAAGATTATAATCATCGGGGAAGCAAGTAAGGGGAAGAGAGTTTCACAGACGCGAAGTGCGGGACGATAAGCTGTTTGAGAAGAAGAGACGGTTACATTTACATAGCTCCCTTCATCATTTCTACGTGAGGTAATGCGGTTTTCGATGTGATAAGAAATGCTTAAATGATCAGTGGCCATCTTATCACATCCCTGCTTGTATATGGTAAAAAAAGTAAAAAAAAAATAACTAAATAAATAATATAAAACAAATAAAATAAAATAAAAAAATTAAATAAAATTTAAATAAAATGAAATAAAAATAAAATACCAGTTTATTAAAAAGTTTTATTAAAAACTTCCTTAGGTGTTCCTTCAAGTCGGTTAACACAGTCCACTGAGAATGTCTCCGATTGAGGGTGTTCTAATGTATTCAGGGGGTGGGTAGCAATCAGGTTGCTTTAGCTGCCTCATCCTCAAAAATTAAAAAAGAAAAAACACCTATCGTGTAAACAGAGCATCCTCCTACACATGATCATGAACCGATATGCAAAGTGTATCATCCTTAGCTAAGGTCAGCAAAGTGATAAACAAATTTCAGCTACTGTAAGGGATATTTGCCACAGTGCCTTGCAAGTGTCGCTCGTACACCAAATGTCGTTCTTGATAAAGCCCCGAATAACGTACTATTTCTTACTGATGTCGGAAGGTCTCGCGGCACTTTGCAGTCGTCTATATGTGGAAATGACACACACACACACACACACACACACATATATATATATATATATATATATATATATATATATATATATGGGCTGGGTTGTGGGGGGGTGCGTACGCGCATGCGTGTTTGAGTCAATATACCAACAGTAAGGTAAAAGATGAAAAGAAAACGAAACATACAATAAAAAAAAAAAGAATAATTACAATTTAGAATGAAAAAAAAAATGAAGAGATAGAAAAATGCTCCAAAAGCGGAAATTACTACTGTGTTCGCTTGGACTTCAGCCTAATGCCGTGTCCAGACTATTCTCCGGCCTCCTTTGCTGGTCACAAGAGATGGGCTGTCATTAAAAATATATTCGGTGGACTTGTCGCAACAATATCTCCGTGTCCCAAGCGGTCATGCGGGCAAGTGATCTACATGCAATGTCGAAACATTATCGAATCAGGTGCATGCGAACGGGGGAAGCGTTAGAACAAATTGAAAAATCTCTCTCAAAAATGCAGCAAAGGTTAAGTTGTTAGGGTGGGGTCGGGAAAGAAAGGACAGAGATTCTTTTTTGTGTTTGTGTGTGTGTGTATGGGGAGGGGATATGCTTTTAATTTAATTTCTTATTTATCACGTATAAAGTTTCATTCACACCGAGAACTTATTTTCCGCGCGAATATCGTTAATTTACTATATTATTTTTCTCTTCCTGACCATACCTCTCTCTCTCTCTCTCTCTCTCTCTCTCTATATATATATATATATATATATATATATATATATATATATATATTGGTCTGACGATATCTATCTATCTATCTCAGTCTGTTCATATCTATCAATATGTCTATCTTACTCTGTTCATACCTACTCAGTCTGTCTATAACTATCTATCATAGTTGCTATCTAACTACTTATCTATGCATTTATCCATACTTTTCTCTTCCTAATCATATCTCTCTCATTCTCTCTCTCTCTCTCTCTCTCTCACACACACACACACACACACACCCTATCTAGTTTTCTCTCTCTTTCTGACAATATCTATCTATCTATCTATCTATCTATCTATCTATCTATCTATCTCTTTCTGACGATATCTATCTATCTATCTGTTATGGTCCGGTTCCTTGTACCACGGTGATAGTCCAAGGTAGAACCAATAAAGAAGAACTCGAACACGGATATGGAATAACACAGATATATTACAAACAGGAATATATACAGAGAAGTAGAAAGTGTTAGTACGAACAATCAGGTTTAGTAGTAATTGTGTGAACGCGACTCTGTTTAGGACTGCCTCTGACTCGACTGACTAACTCACTCGCTCTGACTGACTGACAGACTCCTGACGGACTTCACTCCAGACTTCAGACTGAACTCCCTGCTTCCTCTTGAGGCGCAGTATTTATTACGTATGGAATAGTCCATTATGTTATTATGGGTAAGGTCCCATAACACTATCTATCTATCTATCTATCTATCTATCTATCTATCTCTTTCCGATTATATCTATCTATCTATGTTAATCTGTGCATATGTATCTATCTCAGTCTGTCTATATCTATCTACCTTAGCTCCTATCTACGTATCTATCTATGCCTCTATCTGTCCATATATAAAGCGTGAAACCCAGGGTTACAAATTAATATCGATATAATTGAATATGTTAGGTCTATCGCAGATATTGACCCCTTTCCACTAAGTACTGCGATGTTAATGTTAAACACCACAGCAGGCCTTTTTTAAAATTCCTGGCGGAGTGAATTGCGTCAAGAAGGTAAAAAGTTCATAAACTAAGAACTGGCGTCGACTCGCAAAAGCATGGGGTAAATGAGAACAGTTTTGGTTTGGCGGCCTTAAAATTTGCAAGCCATTTCTTGCTCCAGTTAAACCATTGATTGGAGGTTCTTTTCAAGAGCAGCATCCAGGTTTACTTTGCCAGCTCTGGACGGATTTGCTTGTTGAGACAGGACTAAAGTGTAGTGTCATCTGCAAAAATACCTACCTGGGAACTCTGGATGATGGGGAACCGTTGTCAAATGTCGAAAATTGCCAAAATGAATAACAACCCCCTCCAACGAACTAACTGCAACCAACAGAATTAACAAAGTTTGCAATAAACAGAGGAACCGGTTAAAAAAATGAAATAATATTAAGCAAACAATATGTGCAAGGCAAATTACCAGTAAGAAGGTAAAAGTTCGGTATTTACCCGAAACTTCCCCACAAGATGGGATGTGTCACAAGGCCGAGTTTTTACGTGGTGCGTTCCTGCGAATAAACGCAGCCCGGCCAGTGTATATTATTAGTTCAATGAAATATGGTCGGCCACAAAAATGGTCGGTCGGCGATTTCAGGGGTAAGAGACCTCGTAGATCCTGAGGGACACCTGCGTTCGGGTGAAAGGGTCAAAAACGGCCTCGAAGACGATTTGGGATTACCTCCAGACGTCCGTGTCTTAGGCCATGGACTCGTCTGGGTTCCTCTCAAATCCGAAGTCATAACGACAAGATAACGGTCAAAAGTTCACAAACTAAAAATTTTCGACACACAAAAACCAAGTTCGAACTTGCAAACTGTTCAGAAAGAAAGTTACAATTTAAAAATTAAGCGCTACTGAAAATTTCAACTCTCTTCCCCCTCCCCCCGAAGGTCCCGGGGTAAAATGGGCCCAGAACCCGTTAGTGGTTGAGAGGTCAGGGCACGTTAAAAAAGGCCTTTTGACATGACACCCTAGTGGTGACTGAAGGTTGACAAATGCTGCTTTTAGGTAAAATTGGCCCAATATCGTCGTGGGTTCCTGCGAATAAACGCACCGCTCCGGCCACGTGTATATTATTAGTTGATGACTTACAATGTAATATATGGCGGAGGCCACAACGGGTCTCCCTAAAACACCACTCGGTCGGCGATTTCGGGGGTAAGACGCGTCAGCTCTGATAATAAACGGCGTAGATCCTTGAGGGACACCTGCGTTCGTGAAAAGGAGGCTACGCCGAAGGGCGAGCCTCGGGAGGTTGGGGGCCCGAAAGCGAACCCGTTCAAAGACCGAGCCGGACGATTTGACTGGATTAAATCAAACAGTCGTCCTGTAATACCGTAGCCCTGGAACTTGCGTAAAACACCAGCGTACTAAACCCTGTCAAACGCCTTCCAGATATCTACGGTCACAGGTTCAGCTTCGCCGTTATTATCACGAGCTGGATATACATATTTAGTGATGGCCATTAACACACCAGCAGCAGACCTGGCAAAATGGAAGCCATAATGATGTTTGTCCGGGAGGAGACCTTGAGAAGTGTTATGGGATCTTACCCATAATAATAATAATGGACTATTCCATACTTAATAAATACTGCGACTCAGGAGTAGGGAAGGAGTCAGTCAATAGTTCACTTTTGAACAGACTGCTCGGTTTGAACTCTCTTCCTACGGGCGGGAAGAACCCGAAGGAGGCTACGAAGGGCGGAGTCTCCTTCGGGAGGTAAAACCGGCCCAGAACCCGTTTATGCGGGTTCAAATGGCTGGTTTATTTTTTGCCGAGCCTAATGGCTCGGGAGGGAATGCCCTGAACGTTAACGGATTAAAAAGGCCTTGTGCCACATGACACCCTCGTGGGGGGGTGACTGAATATCATCTGAATATCGTCAGTCAATAGTTCACTTTGAACAGACTGCTCGGTTTGAACTCTTCCTACGGGCAGAGGAGGAACCCGAATGAACCCGTTTTATACGGGTTTGGAGGCTACGCCGAAGGGCGGAGTCTCCTTCGGGGAGAACAAAAAGCCTGAACCCGTTTATACGGGTTCAGTGGGCATATTTTGGCCGAGCCCACAGGCTCCGGAATGCCCATGAGGAAAAAGGCCTTGTGCCACATGACACCCTAGTGGGTCAGTCAGTATTTCAGATGGAGTCAGTAGTTCAAGTCGAGTCAAGAGTCGAGTCAGAGGCAGTCGAAACAGAGTCGCGTTCAGACAATTACTGCAAGACATTGGAATAGTGATACTGGTCGAGGCTACATTGTTCTCTCTACTAAACGTGATTGTTCATACTAACACTTCTACTTCTCTGTATATATTCCTGTTTGTAATATATCTGTGTTATTCCATACCTGTGTTCGAGTTCTTCTTTATTGGTTCTACCTTGGACTATCACCGTGGTACAAGGAACCGGACCATAGCAAGAAGTAGGATGCTTAACCACTTCAGCATTGATTAGAGCTACGAATACTTTGACGAAAGGCGGTAAGAGAATAATAGGGCGATAATTTGAGGGGTCAGGGTATCCTCTAGTGTTCTTAAACAGGAGGACTTCTAACACGCTGAAAAGCAGGAAGAGAACTAGAGTCAGCTCGGGAGAAAATTTCTTCGGGACGACGTCTAGGATCTCGTCACCTCTTTTTGCCTTGTGGGAGTCTAGTTTGGAATGATGCCTGAAACCAGTTATACGTATATCATTCAGCAGAGTCTCTGTTCTAGGGGTGATGGGTCAGATTTAGGAAATCCAGATGAGTCGATTGTAAATTTGGAAAAGAACTTTCCAGCAAAGCATTCAACCTTGTCTGCTGTAGAGGTCAAGACTTCAATTTGATCGAAACGATGAGGGGATTGAGTTGATCAGCACACTCTTGCAGAGATGCCAATTATCTTCAGAACCGAACTTGTGAGAGAGGCTATGTGTTGTTTTATTCTATCAGCAAACAGTAACTTCGCTCCTTTCAGTTCGCGCTTGCTACGCTTGAAATCTAACATGCCTCTTTGGTAGAGCCGAAAGAAGTTTTTTTTTCTGTGGACTATAACTGCCGAGCAAGCAGGTGAGAACCGCGGAGATGAACGTAGTTTTAATTGGTATTCCCGTGCTGAACTGAAAGTTTCGATACCGGCTTTCACCCAGGGAGAAACATCAGAAGCGCATAGTTAAAACCTTCATCCTAAGGAACGTCACGAAGGAAGTCACGAAACGAGTTCCAAACAGCTCGTTTATAACTGTTATACCTGAACGTACCTATTCTATTATTAATAGAATCATCCACACATAATAAGTAGTAGTAGTAGTAGTAGCGGTCGCCAGTTGAGCTCAGTGGAGTTGAGTGAGTCACTCGATGTCGGACATTGAAGTATCAACCATCACAACTAGATTGCTGCGTCATTAACTCTTATTTCAACGTTTTGTACGTCGGACCCTTTTAGGACCGACTTAGTGAAATACAAGCCTCCACTGTGAAAACTACTCTATAACAATAACAGAAAGATATTCTGTTGGTAGGAGATTCTTGGCTGCTGGGTGGAGAACAAGAAGATGTTTACAGATATAACTGCATGATAAGAGTTGCCAAGAGGACAGAGCTGCAGGATACGACATGAGTCAGGATCCAGGTAAAGAAGAGTTCAAGGAGAGAAGCATATCCATCAGGATTACTAGGGAAACGTGTGAGTAAGTCCACCAATTGTGAGTGATTGAGAAGTTCAAGATTTGGGTGCCTCTGAGGTCAGTGACAGAGAGCTTAAGCCACCTAGCAGGATGGGCATTAATTCACCGAGAACAAATATATTTGCAAACTGGTGTAGAGAGATGGCCTTGTATACGTTAACAGAAATATTATTTAGCTACGCAACAGCCATGAGAAGAAAGGGAACGGTAAAGAAAGAAGAGATAGCTGACTGATTTTAGTAGAGAGAGACGGAGACACATGTAAGAATCGTCTGGAGATTAAAGAGAGAGTTCCCTAGCCAGCGGGAGATGTTCGCAGGTATAAAACCCAGACCATGCCTGTGTATATTAGAGTCCTTTCTGAAGAAAAGAAGATAGCCAGGAATCGAGAATTCAGAGGAAGTGGATTGCAGAATTAGGATTAGTTTTGCAGGATGTCCGGAGATTGTTGGAAGAGAAAAGATTCCACGCTGCAGAAGTTGGTACGGACACCGCGAATGTTGGAAAAAGAAAGTTTGAGGTATTTAGATGTTGTTTTTTTTTTTTTTTTTTTTAGCTGGTTTAGTTTTATTTCCGTGTTTGCTTATCGTCATGGAAAAAGGCGAGAATAGTATTAGTCGGTCGTCTGATGTAATATGTGAGGTCAGGAAACTGGCGCAGACTGCAACATTGAGGTTGCCCACAGGATGTGCTTGCAGGGATACCATTCCATGTGCAATATAGCACTGCAGGAACACCGATATGATGCGGCTGTTATTCAGCACAGTTACTCTAGACGCTACGCAAGTGTTCGGACTGATTTTTAATATAACAGAGAAATTATATCGATAATATATTTTTTTTTTTTTTTACTTATGACACATTATCTTGCCGTTAAAGATTTAAATAATTATCCATAGATGCTGTTAGTTCTTTTAAGGTAACAAGCTTTCAACTGGCTTGAATCAGTATCAACATTTTTTCTGGCAGTTGATTACCATTTCTTTCTGCAGTAGACCAGTTGCCATCTAAGGAGATAGGACCCGGTTTGTCCTGCTATTTACCCTTAGCTGGGAGAGAGGGGAAGAGGATTCATATTTTTCTCAAGGGTCAGTCAGTTATATACCCTGTGTGATACACGCTTAGGCGATCATGAATCTTTCGATATATGACTGACAAGGCAGATTCTTTCCCGCAATAGGTTGCCATTTCTT